TATTATAATATAATAATAATAGCACATAATATTAGGAGAACAGACACTTACACTTCATTTAATTATTAGATTTATTATACACATTAGTAGTATTTATTTACTGAATACAGATGCAACTGTATATTAGAACATGCATTGTTTAAACAAAAAGTGAAAAGACACCTTCAAAACTGCTTTTTTAATTGTATTAATTATACAATATATTATTTTCTATTAGTATTAATAATAATATTAACAACGACAGTATTAGTAGGGCCCTATGAAATCCATTTTATTTTTTTCTGGATTCTGTTTTTTTCCATTTAAATTTTTCTAGACTCTGTTTTAATGATTAAATGACATTTTATTAATCAAAAAGCATGTCTAATTAATTAATAAAGTCATGAAACGTACACAATTTAACAGCAATTTATGAAAAGTTTGTATGTAAAAACTTACATTAAGGCCCTATGAAATATTTCTTTTCTCAAATTCAGTTTTATTTTGACCAAATTCTGTGTTTTCCATTAATTTTCTGTCTTCCATTTTAATGGTTTCATAAAATTTGAATAACCAAAAGTATATCCAAGTAATTGATTTTATAAAAAAAATATTTATTATTATTTTATTAAATTTTTCAGAAATACTGTGTTGTGTATTTACATTTTTCTGGTAAATAAATTCTGGTAAATAATTTTTCTGGTAAATATTCCTTAAAAATATTGTTTTAATAATAATTAAAAAAAATGTTAATTAAAATTTTTAATTCGAGTGTAGTAACCTACTTTTGATTTGTTTATCCAAAATTTGGCAAATTCAGTGACTTTCCGTGTTATACAGTAAGTTCCATTTTTATGACTGCATTCTGCGTTTTCTGCATGGCGGAAATCATAGGGCCCTAAGTAACAGTAATAATATTAATAATATAATATGAATAAGAATAAACAATGTTTTAATATAAACATGAGCAAGAACAGATCCTCGATTCGGATAAATCCCTTCTGGTGACTTTGGGTCATGGCTCTGAGATAAAACAAGTCACTTAACAAAAATGTGTTCATTTTATTATTATTATTTTTTTGTATTTATTTATTTATTTATTTATTATACCATATATTATTTTCTGTTATTTTAATTGTATTATTATTATTTACAATTTTATATATATATATATATATATATATATATATATATATATGATTAATATTATAATATAATAATAATAGCACATAATATTAGGAGAACAGACACTTACACTTCATTTAATTATTAGATTTATTATACACATTAGTAGTATTTATTTACTGAATACAGATGCAACTGTATATTAGAACATGCATTGTTTAAACAAAAAGTGAAAAGACACCTTCAAAACTGCTTTTTTAATTGTATTAATTATACAATATATTATTTTCTATTAGTATTAATAATAATATTAACAACGACAGTATTAGTAGGGCCCTATGAAATCCATTTTATTTTTTTCTGGATTCTGTTTTTTTCCATTTAAATTTTTCTAGACTCTGTTTTAATGATTAAATGACATTTTATTAATCAAAAAGCATGTCTAATTAATTAATAAAGTCATGAAACGTACACAATTTAACAGCAATTTATGAAAAGTTTGTATGTAAAAACTTACATTAAGGCCCTATGAAATATTTCTTTTCTCAAATTCAGTTTTATTTTGACCAAATTCTGTGTTTTCCATTAATTTTCTGTCTTCCATTTTAATGGTTTCATAAAATTTGAATAACCAAAAGTATATCCAAGTAATTGATTTTATAAAAAAAATATTTATTATTATTTTATTAAATTTTTCAGAAATACTGTGTTGTGTATTTACATTTTTCTGGTAAATAAATTCTGGTAAATAATTTTTCTGGTAAATATTCCTTAAAAATATTGTTTTAATAATAATTAAAAAAAATGTTAATTAAAATTTTTAATTCGAGTGTAGTAACCTACTTTTGATTTGTTTATCCAAAATTTGGCAAATTCAGTGACTTTCCGTGTTATACAGTAAGTTCCATTTTTATGACTGCATTCTGCGTTTTCTGCATGGCGGAAATCATAGGGCCCTAAGTAACAGTAATAATATTAATAATATAATATGAATAAGAATAAACAATGTTTTAATAATTAGATAATTGGAAATATTTATAACGGTAATAATTGACTATTTTATGAATAATTTGATAATTAATAATAATGTAATATTAACATTTTTAAATTAGAAATATTAATATTTATGATAAATGTATTTAATTTATTATACCTCTTAATACTTATTTATTGAATGTAGACGTAACACTATATTAGTGTGTCGTGCATGTTATACTCAAAAAAATGGTGACTGGCTGCTAAACAACTTGCAGGAGTCAGAATGCACAGATGTTTCATGAGTTTGATGGGTTTAGATTACAAGTAACCAGGCTGCTATGGCCTGCTCTGTTGTTGTGGTATGATTGTTTTCAGATAAACTCTGTGTGATGTTACCTCTGTGTTAGTGTGGTTGGCAGAGGCAGTGGTCTGTAGAGTTGAGGGATTTTCCGGTTGATGAGAGGAAACAGAGCTTCTCTCAGTTTAGTGTAGTTCCGCTCCAGCTCTCGATGATACTCCTTCTGATCTGGACCAATCAGAGACTTGTTCTTCCTCAGAGCATCCTCACACCTGAGTCAAGAACACTGCAGTCAGTAGGTTAAGAGACCCAGGACTGTCAGTCCAAAAAAAAGTGTCCATTTTAATGAACTGCGAAACAGAAAATGCTGCTTTAACTGGAGGATTCATTTCAAACCTTCAATCACTTGTTCACTTGGTTCTTAGCCATGGGAAGATACCATGCTGATCTGTGGTTTAGGTAATTGGCAGCTTTAGCATGTTGGAAATAGACTGCGGCCATGTTTAGGACCATAAAGATCCAAACCGAGGAGGCCACATAAGACTTGGGGTTGACAGCAAATCAGTTTGATTGGTGATTCACTGCTTTTTCACTTGATTCAACTGCAAATGTTCTAAATTCAGAATGATTCAATTGAACTTGATATACTGGACTGTTTGAACTTGATTCAGTAAATGCTTTAACAAATCTCAAAATACTTCTTCTTAATATATATCTTAAGCAGTAAAAGACATTTATTGCTCCATGCAATACTTACTAAAAATACCTAGAAAATGACAATTTGTAAAACTGCTGCCTTATTTAAAATAATTTATTTATTTTTAAATATCCTACTCTTACCCCCCCCCCTTCAGCTTTTCAACTTTTCAAGCACCAACACAGGCATCAGCCAATCAGATCGTCTTATGCAAATACCCTAGCAGATGCTAGCCATTCATGTTTATGCAACACCAGAAATGTAATGTGATTGGCTGTTGTCATTATGATGGTCGCATCAGCACCTAGCTTACCATAACATAACAGGGACAATAAACACACAAACAAACTAAAACAAAAAAGCAAACAATGATGACAAAAGAAGAGATCTGAGCAAAAACATTACAGCAACTGTGACGCACCAACTCAATCTGCAGATTTGCCCATCAAATTAACAAGTGACTCCTACATGCTCAAAAAAAACAAAACATGCTCTTTCCTTTCCTTACTAAAACAAATCCTTTCCAAATGCAAATTTTTTTCCGTGATTTCTCCAAGATCCACATATCAAATGTTGGTACTGCCTCAAGACTTCTACTTTAAATCACATTTGTTGGTTAGTAATTTTAAATCCTAAAAATTGATGCAGTTGCATTGGTAGGCTTTTTAATCAATGAAAAAACTAAATAAATGAATCACAACCTAACGTTTTCAACTCAAAAAGTGAGCATGCTTGTGTGCAAGACTGTGTGCACAAAAGTCACTTCACCTTTTAGTAAAGTCCTTGAAGCAGAGGCGCAGTTTATTGTGATGCCGGAAGAGTTTGGAGTCCTCAGGAATTTCAGACAGGAAGACCTGAGCCACCTCCAGCGGACCCTTTGTGACAACATGAACAGGTTCATATCCACAAACAAACCGACATACTGGAGAAAACCCATTCGATATAAAATGTTACCTGATTAACAGTGGTGCCAACACAACCCTGAAGCACCATCTGGAGCATCTTTGAGTCAGCGGGGTCCTGATGGGTCGCGAAGGCCAGCTCCTGTGTTTTCTTCTGCATATCCTCAATCGCCACCTCCATCGGCATCAGAATGATCTGTACGGAGGAGGAAACATTTAAAAAATTGGTCTTGAGGCAATTTAGGAACCTCCAAAAGTAAAGCGGCCCACACCTCCTCTTTGTGGATGACGTTGACGCGGGTCTTGATGTAGGGGAAGGCGTGGGAGGTGGTGAGGATGGCCTTGCGTTTGTACTGCTCATGCAAGTCGCCATGGGCCCGACCGTCCAGCGTGAACGGTGTACAGTACATGAACGTGCGCAGGTTATAGTTCTTGTCAAAGTAAGTGATGCGCTCCTTCAGCTCGTAAGTGTCGAAGAAGGGCTCCACATATGTGATCTGCAGGTACACCTGGGTAACAAACATACACAGCACTGCTCAATATGGAGATTATATGTACGAGACTGAAACGAATTAGCGTTGCTATTGTTAACTAAAACTATTAAATCATTTTTGTTGAAATAAAGCTGATACACAAAATATTTTAAAAAAATTACACTTAAAGGGGTCATATGATGTTGCTAAAAAGAACATTATTTTGTGTATTTGGTGTAATGAAATGTGTTTATGTGGTTTAAGGTTAAAAACACATTATTTTCCACATACTGTACATTATTGTTTCTCCTCTATGCCCCGTCTTTCTGAAATGCGTCGATTTTTACAAAGCTCATCGGTCTGAAAAGCGAGGTGTGCTCTGATTGGCCAGCTATCCAGT